CCCCAAAACCCCAAAACCCCAAAACCCCAAAACCCCAAAACCCCAGTGAGGGAATGAGGGATTGAAAATATTTAGAGGTTAGGGGGTTAATGAGGGTTGGGTTTGGGAGATGGTTTTTGGGTTAGGGATATCTTGAGGTGGTCTTGAGTAGCAGGGTAGTTGTGATGGGAGTTTATATGAGAGGTTTGAGTGAATAGGGAAATTATTATCGGGTCATGAGAAGTCTTGAGGCTGAATATGAGTATTTTCTTCTTTAGAATATTCAAATACTCTCTATTTAGAGATAAGTTATATGGAGGTATGGATATTTAATATTACTTTTCTGGGATTAAGGAGATTAAAAATGGTCAACTAAGAGTGCTCTGAATTAGAATTGAACTGTTTGTTTTGACCAACAACTTTCTAATGAATACTTTTGATCAAGAGCTATGATAAGACCTCTTGTCTTATTTTATGCTTTAGATACATTTGATTATAATCGTTTGAAACTCAAGAGCAATTAAGTTTTGAATTAAGAGAAAAATAATTAACAAGAAAATTATGAAAATGATTAATAAATAGCATTAATGGGTAAGTTACAGAAATAGTCGTTTTATTCAAATTTTAATGTTTAATTACTTAAATACTTAAGCGTTGTCTTTTCTCAAGACCACTCTATATGTCCAAATTTATTAGTGGAAGGAGTTCTGGATTTTACGCTTATTTAAAAAAGACAATAGAGACACTTTGAGATTATTAATGCAACATTTAAATGCTAGTAGAAGAAAGCAATCACCAGATTCTCGATAATTCTTATATTAACAGTAAATTTAGTTCCTTTGGAGAAAAATTATCCTAAATTTTTTAATTGTACTAATCTTCATTCTCAATTTTGTTCTTTATTTCTGCGAAGTCTTCTCATGAGAAATGAAGAAAAGAGAGTTCAGTTTCAGCAAGCTAATTATTTATTCTCATATTTCTCATTATATTCGATAAGTGACATGTCACATTTTTATAAGCAATTGAACAGGACATGAAGCTCTTATATAATTTCAGAGAAAAACTGCTCGAGGCTTAAGAAGGGATAGTGTTACTTCTAGCTTATTAAAAATCTTCTTTAGAAGAGCTGAAGGTACTAGTCAGCTTTTGTAATTTTTAAATTGTCAAGTAATTAGTATACATATTGTAAACCGATTTCTGAAAAATTCAGGTTTATGCTTTTGAATAATATCTACTACTTTGATATCCACAAGGTCTCTCTTAAAAAGTAAAAATAAGCTTCCTCTAAGTGTAGAACCTCCCAAAAACACTTCGAACACCTGCTTCAGAAGGTTATGGATGGGAAAGGAAAATGAGTGAGAGTTATATAATTTCCAACATCCCAATCGCTGACATGTATCCCTCAGTAAATGTTATGGTAAATTTTTAGCTATTGAGTAACTGAAGAAAATAATTAAGATCGCAAAGTATACCCTCTTATAATTCATATAGCTCCTTCTTTCATCATTTGTTATCTTAGGTCTCATAAATATAGACTTATACATTCTTATAGTTTAGTACGAAAATAAAAAGTTAACTTTATTAGATAACTTTAAAAATTCTTTAAAATGGGAGATCATAATAATGTGACAAGAACATTAAATGAACATATAAACCTGTTTAAGCACATAATTAGCTTAAGAACCTTGCTATCGCAGCCAAGTTTCAAGTAAAGTATCAAAAAGTTTTGAAAATATTTATCGAGAAACTTATTAGGAATCTTTTTGAGTGGACTTGTTATGATCCTTCCTAAATACAGTCAAGTTCTTCTGAAAATAAGACTCTTTTAGATTCATTCATAAGCTTTGGAGGGCTGCCATTGTTTTGCCCGGGAATTCATCAATTACTTTTTCATAGTCGATATTCTGATATTTGTAGTCTCTTCTTAAGATCTTCTTCAAATTCTTAATTTCTCTAAATGAAAACTCAAATTTAGATATTTTCTGAATTCTCGCTATGAGCTTTTCTGGAGAAGCCTTTAACCAGCCAGATCTCTCTCAAAGTTCTTGTAATCCTTTCTGATGAATTAGATCAGTGTTTGGATCAAGCCTAAGGAGTTCATCAAGTGCAAAAATCCCTTCTTTCTCCATTTCTCGAATCTTTCTGAATAACACCTTGTCTTCCTTCTTGCCCCATCTCGTGAAGGAATTTTTGTTTGATTTCTGGTTGACCTCTTTACTAGCTGGTTTGGGCCAAGAGAGCTTAGTCAGAGGAATCTCAGATATCTGTGCATAGGAATCTTCAGCATTATGAGTTTTCTCCTTTACTAATATATTAGAGCAATCTTTTGACTCTAAAATATGATGAGTCTCCTTCTTTTGAGTATCTCTCTCAGTAAAATCTTCAGAAACCCCAAACAATGAATCAGAATCCCCAACTCTATGAGCTTCTAAAGCTTTTGAGGTGCCAATTATTTCATATTGAGGAATCTCGGGATTTTGAATATTATCAATAGAGGAGTATTTGGCTACATCAAAGAAATTAGAGTCGCTTATTGAGCAACTAAATGCGAATTTGAGCAAACTCTTTAGATATACAGTAAGATTATGCTATAAATTCCGGGCTACTGAGCATATAACATCAGAAGTTTGTACTAAAATAAATAAAAACTTAAACCTCTTTTGGAGAAGAGTAAACTACAAAAATCTTAAATCGTATAATATAAAAGAAATTTTAATAGTCCAGAGATAAGCATGAAGCAGGAATTTGAGATATTTTTGGAATGGATAGCTTCTTTAAGTTCACTAGAACTCAATTTAAAAGTTAGCAGCTCCTTTATGGAGTTAAGCAATTGGGATGTAGGTCTATGACAAGTAAGGTATAAAGCCCTTATTTTGCTAATTAATTTTAGACATGAGCAGGAAATTAGGGAGAAAGCTTACGTTCAAATCAGAAAGGATTTTGGTCATCAGCCATCAAAGGGGATGTGAAGAATTCAAATTCAAATGTATTCTTGGGAGAATTGAGCATTGATAAAATATTACTATAGCTTTCTATCTAAGAATTCTTTTATGGGGTTTTGGGGTTTTGGGGTTTTGGGGTTTTGGGG